TGTGTAATGAGATTATCTTGACAGATTTATACAGGAAAGAAGTTGTTGCTCACAAGACCAGAGTGATGACAACATTTTTGGTGTTATAACTATGTGAGAGCATTTCAGCTTTTTCCTCCTTGGGTGCTTTCCAGTTGTATGGACCTCAGCTGCTCGGATTCTCAATAATGGGCATTATTAAGCTGTTACCAAATGATGTAATGATGGTATTTAAAGAGAATTACCATATTTTTCGGAGTATAAGACGCACCGGAGTATAAGACGCACCTTAGTTTTTGGGGAGGAAAATAGGGGGGAAAAAAATCTGCCTACCAGGTATTTATCTGGCTAGCGTCCTTAGTCTGGTCAGCTTCAGCACATTAGTTTGCTGGTTTTTTATGCCCTGCTTGGGGATAAAAAACAGCTTCTAAGGCACAGCTGAGAGGAAGCAGCTATGAGAAAAGTAGGCAAAGCAGGGGGAGGGGAAATCGCTTCACTCGGCTATTGCCTATTTCAGACTGAAAAAAAGCTTCTAAAGAACAGCTGAGAGTCGGAGTAAAGCATGGAGATCGCTTCACTTGCTAGCGCCTCGTTAAAGCACAACGGAAAGTCGAGGGAGCAGGCAAAGCTGGGAAGATCGCTCACTAGTGCCTCGTTAGCGCCTTGTAAGGGCTGAAAAAAAGCTTCGAAAAGCTATATTCGGAGTATAAGACGCACCCAAATTTTCAACCACTTTTAGAGGGGAAAAAGGTGTGTCTTATACTCCAAAAAATAGGGTACAGTAAGTGGAGATTTAGAGGATAAAGCTATGAATGGGGACTAGTCAACATGACTATATATTATCTTTAATATCAGAGGTATTAAAAGACCAATTTGTAGAGAAACTGTGCTACAGACAGTCCTAGTTTAATGACTTGCATTGATTAGTGACCCTTTCCAGTTATGATGATGAAGAAATAACCTTACAAACAGTAAATCAAAGGAAAGCTGAACTAAGATCATAGGTACAGCTGCAGTTTCATGTTGTGACCAGTTTGCTTAACCACACCAAGTTGCTGCCCCCAGTTGTGGTTGTTCCATTAGGACTACCTGTACTGAATTTGTGCGGTCGGCTTTTAGTAGATTACTTAGGGAACAAAAAATCATAGCCTTTCATATGATATAGCATGTTGTTCCTTATGTTCTTCATGTAGCAAGAAGGCAAGGATAATAGATTGTGGAGAGAATTGGTTGCTTAACAGAGGTTCAAATTAATGCCAGGCTTGCAAAGGGCATTTATGACCTTTAAAGCACTTTCAACTGTTGCAAAATATAATTTCTCCCACTGTGATCACATGATACTCATCTGGATCAGTAATGGTTTTCACTTATCTTTGCTACTGTTTTGGAACTGTGAGCACGCACGTGCGCACCAGAGGTGGGTTCTACTTACCTTTACTACCGGTTCATAATGGGGCCGCACGCGCATTCTTCTGCACAAGCACAGCTTTTGCACATGCGCAGAAGCGTTTTTATGACATCAGGGTCAGTGGGCGGAGCCTCCCGCCAGTTTTACTACCGGTTCTATAGAACCAGTGTGAACCGGGGGCAACCCACCACTGGTGCACATGCTTGCTTCACTCACGCGGGGCGCTTCTGTGCATGTGCAGAGCATCTGTGATGACGTCTAGGTGGATGGGTGGAGCCTCCCACCACCGCCGCTACCGGTTCGCCTGAACCAGAGTGAACCAGTAAAAATCCATCATTGATCTGAATGCTTGGCAACCTGTTCACTCTTACAGCCAATTCTAAACTGCCCTGTAATCATGTCATCACCATTTTGCAATCTTCTTTACCAGTATCCCCAGAAAATCAATGGGAAACTTATCAGTTAATGACTGCTTTGCTCATTGACCAAGATTTCGGTCTCAATCGTGGTTAAGCAAGGACTATGTGTAACTTCATATTTGGGGCTTGAGGATTTACAAACCATTTGAATCGAGTTTCCTATTATTTTACCTCAGAGCAATTAAAAAAAACAAAACATCAACACAATTGGTAGAAAAATCTTTTACTTTATATTTATCGGCTTTTATGAATGCATCTTTTGAATAACTGGTAACATACTGGACTTCCACCTGTGTGTATAAATAAAAATAGTTACTGTATCCTACTAAACTCTGCTAAATTGAATGAATGAACACTGAGCAAACTTGAATTGGGCTTTCCTATTTAAGACCAAAGGAATTTTATTAAAATGACTATATTAATACTTGAAAAATGGTTAACTCCCTCTCAATCAATTTATTTAGAAAGTGTTCTGACTGAATTATCAGAAAGATCCTGTTGGAAATTCTTGAAATGCAATACAAAATTGGATTGATCCTCATCTTTGGCTACAAGGCAATTCATGCGTCCTTAATATTTGAATGACAGGATGCTCAATTGATTTGCACTCATTTTTTATTATGATTTATTCATAGTCTCTTGTTAAAAATATTCAAGCATTACAACTGCATCACAGCAGCTTAGACATTAATTTGCTTGTCACATGAAGGAATGTGATGGTTTTTTAAAAGGCCTTTGGCTGTGACAGCCAAATCATGAAAGATAATGCTGTTAAAAAGCTTTGCTGTCCAGTCTTTATAGAGTTGGACCACCTTATAAATATAATTAAATAAATAAAAATAAAATAAGTTTTTGACCCCTTCAACTTCCCATCCAAGTAATTTTTAATGCCTATAGGAACCCGCCCCCTTTTCATTAAAATATTGTAGAGGTAGAATACATTTTTTCCCTTCAATTGTGTTTGATTCTTGAAGTTAGCCAGAAAAAGTCCGTACAGTTTTGTGGCAAGATTTGAGAAGTGCTTTGTCATTGCCTCCTTTCAATGGTTGAGAGAAGATGACCAGCCGAAGGCCACCCAGCTTGGCTTTCTGCCTATGGAGAATTTAAAACTCAACAGTCTCCCAATTTCTAGCTTAATGCCTTAAAGCCAAACTAACTCTTGCTTTAAATGTATATAGCCAAGCAAACTAGGTACGTTTTGCAAATAACATTTGGACATTTTGATGCTTGTTGGTCGCTTTTGTCATTTAAAGCAAAGGTAAAAGTTGTCATCTGAACATGGTATATTGCTCTTTGTTTGATTTTTCTGGATATACTTGGTTCTAAAATCCAGATTTGCAAGAATAATAATTAATGCCATTTGATACAATTACATAATGGAAGTCTGAATCCTCATATTTTTTAAAAAAATCCTTAACGCTTACCCTATACAGAATAAACATGCTGGATTAGTTTTTACATTAAAAATGATTTTGAAATTTCTTTCAAAGCAGGAAAGTAAGGCAATATCATTATTGGGTATTTTAGTTACAGTGCTGGAAGGAAAGTTGGCCACAGTAGAAGACCCTGAAAGAGAAGAGAATAAATTAGCTGAATCAAACCGCCTCCCTAAAAGTATAACCAGCTAAAAGTATCTTAGTTTACTGCACCTCTATTACTCACTTGTGTGTTTGGAAGGCAGCTGATCATGTACTTGTGGTTGTTCTTCTCCCTCAAACACTTACCTTATTTTAAGAGATCTTTCCTGTCAGGTATTTAGCACTGTTTTTCTTGGCCCATCTGAACAAAGGCAGTCCCGCCAGGAAGAATAATTTTCATAAGATTATAAACGAGTATCCAGAATAATACTGGAGGAAGTTCTCCAAAAACAGAAGCCATCCTGTTAAATCCAGACTCCCAGATGAGTGCATTGACAGAGGAATACCGACACTGAATTTCCACAGCAACTATCACAGGTAGTGTAAGATTTCTATTTAACTTCTCTTAAATGAATCCAAATATTTTATTACTGCAAATAAATAAATAAAGTTTATTTGCATGCAGTGTATGTTCCTCACAGGTTCAAACTATAAGAGTTTGTCTGATCAAACAATGCACTGCAATGTTGAGATGGCCAAAGAGTATGTGTGAATGTTCTGTCATAGCAATTTATGGTAATACAATAACATCTCACCAATGGTCAGCTGGCTCCTGTGGCTTCCAAATTTTAGTTAAATACCAAAGGAAAACACCATGAAGCTACTTTCCCATTGGGCTATTTCAGTGTGTGGCGTATGTGAGCAGCCACGGAGGATTCAGAACAGTGGTGGGATTCAGCCGGTTCTCTCCAATTCGTGCGAACCGGTAGCGGCGACGGCGGGAGGCTCCGCCCACCTGCAATGCGCAACTACTGCACATGTTCAGAAGGCAGTGTGCATGCGCAGAGGTAGTGCATGCGAGTGAAGTGCTCACATTTGCGAACTGGTAGGGAAGGTAAGTGAATCCCACCTCTGACTCAGAATGATTAAAAAAAATCTGCTAAAAAAATTAGAAAGCTTCCAATGTCATTCTCTTCTATGCTAACAATACAGTAAACTTAAAGAAAACGAAAACCCTACTGACCTATCATTCATTACCTTTCATGGTAGTAAGGAAAGGAGAAGGGTTTTTTTTTTTTTTGCAGAAATGGAATATGAACTTGTCAAATGGTGCAATTTTGAAATCATAGTTTTGAGTCCATCCATCCATTCTCCATCCATTAGAAAGCACATTGTTTACCAGATTTATCTTTAAATCAAGAGCATGTCCTTGTCATAGGTAAGCCTAGGAAAAGTCTGCACTTATGCTATGGAAACTAAATGCACAACTCAAATGTTAGAATTGTTCAGGAAGGGTCCCCCTATCAGGAGCCGATGGAGAAAGATTCTTTCAGTAACTTTCAAAATAGCTTTTACAAGGCCCAAATACTGCAATCATTTAAATGAACATATTTGCTGACAACTTTATAACTTATTGCGGTTCAACATTTTAAATCGTAGAAAATTGCCGTCACTTTATATTTATAATCATATTCAGCACAATACAGGAATCATCCTGAAAAATCTAGTTCTTTCATCCCCAAATAAATTATTCCTTTCATCTCACAGGATCCTTTTCTTACCTTTCCCGCCCTCCTTTGAATTATTGCCTCATTTCATCAGCAGTGACCAGAAATCTCACTTATAAAATGATTTTATTTTTTTTTCATAATTTAGCTGAACCAACACAAAACTGAATACTGTAAAGCAACAAAAAAAGTTGAAACATTTTAAGTTTTGTTCAGTATTGACTAAATAAGGCTACTACGCTCCCTCCAAAAAAAGGAAAAAAGGAAAAAAGAAAAGAAGAATAACAGTAGAGTGAGGGATCTGGCACTCCAATTCTTATTATACAGGTGAAGTATCTACCATCATTTATTGCATGACATTTTATATCAGACATTGGTCATTTATAGTGCAGTCAGTTCATAATTCTTTTCAAGTGGCTGGGCTTTAATTGCTATCTGGACACTGATCAGAACTTTTACAGTGAAGTAAGACCATCATCACATATGTTTTATTCATAGACACTGTCACCTATAATTCATGATTTACTCAACTTGTGCAATAAAATAATATTGAAAACTGGGAGAGGTCTTGATTAAATGAACTATTTTCCCCCATCTATGGGGGAATCTATGATTGTTTGAACAATCCCTATACATTTTTCTTTAGTAGCATAGAACTAGCATAATACTAAAAGTTAATTGGAGTATTTAGGTAGTATACTACAGTGGACATTGGGAATAACTTTAATATTGACAAATATTTTGGAGGGGAAGAAGTAAGCCCGTTTCCTGACCTAATCATATCACTATGAGCCAGACTTATAGACAAAGGAGATACTATATTTGAAGGTATCAATGCTTTTCCGTTTTTTTTTCCTTTTTGAAATACCACTTTCCTTTAACTTTTTTTTTCTACTGTAATATTGAATAAGGGAGTTTTCAAAAATGTGATGTAAAAAAAAATGTATATCTTGATCAAGGAACAAGGCCTTTATACTAAATTAGGAAGGAGGGGGGAGGTGGCATGGTAGGGAGATAGAAAGAATGCAACTGAGTATGGAAAGTAATGACTATTCAACTATTTTACACTGTTTTACTGGCATTTAAAAGACTATCACTCCCTTCCGAGGGGAAAAAGGAAAAGGAAAAAGAAGAAGGAAAGAAAACAAAAAGAAAAGAAACAAAGAAAAGAGGAAGAGGAAGAGAAGAGAGAAAGGAAGCCTTTCAACAGTGCAATGGTTGAATGCATTTATGTAATATAAACACCATTATTCTTTGCTTTTCTACAGATTCCTCTCTGGTCATGCTTTACATCCAGAATGTCCCAATGGAAGAAAGCAAACTACATCAGTCACTTCAGAGACAACTGAAGTAATAAAAACAACAACTCAACTCTGAACCTTTTTGTCATGACCGTCCACGTTAATTGTTAAATAGGATTTTCTACAAATATACAACATATAAAAACTGTTAAATATATAACTTTAGGCTTTTCAAAATACATTTAATGATCTCTTTCAAACAAGTGTTACTTTCCCCTCCCCCCCCATCTTCCCCCTGGATTTGCTTTCTGGCGCTAAATGTATCGGATGAGACATAGGCCACAGATGACCAAACATGCTCTTTGCAAATACTGTATTATCCAACTTTTAACGACCAAAGAATGGAACCATAGAAGAGGCATGTTGAACTGGTTAAACTTAGAATGATTTTAGTACGATAAGTCAATCTAAGCACAGAATAAAGTGGTGCGTAGACAGTTTGTCTTGTTTTGAATCAAAAGTTCTGTTTTCTTCTTTAAGATTGGTCATAATCTCTCCATGTTCCCTTGTGATTTTTAGGGTACTTTTTTCCAAGAGGAGCTCCAGCTTCTTCTGCAGTGTCCCATAAAGGCTTTTGCTGGAAAGTAACGTTTCCTCACAGAGTGAACTGAATTTGTACAGGGTGGTTTTCATACTGTTGAATCTAAACAATCTTGTTAACAGTAACATCGTGTCCACTTTAAAATAGATTTTGCTCTTTGGTCTATTGTATATACTGAAACATAAGAAAATAAAAGCAATTCAGGCAGTCTAGGGCACAAGAAAAATTGTCTTCTATACCTTAGTGTCCTTCTGTAGACAAAACAGTCTTCTCTAAGGCTGGTTGGGATGAGTACTCTTCAGTTTAGTTGACTTTTCAGATTATTGTAACCACAGATCAAGTCCAGCAGGAACGTAACTCAGATGCAATATTAACCGTGAACTTGTGGTTTTGATTGTTGTATTGCTAACGCCCAAGCCTTTCTCTTAGATCTTGATTCCTTAGTCCAACTTTCTTTAATAGGGTAGAACAGACTTTTAGCTCATAATGTAGAATTATGCCTTCTTCGATGAAATACAGAGAAATAGACAGTTGAATTGATGACATAAAATGGATGATGATCCACAGCAATGAAACTTGATTAGGGAATGTGGCTCACACCGAGCCTAAAAATGCCTACAAGATTTCTTCGTTGCTGCATTTGTCAGGAGACCTGCAATTCAATAAGAACAACTGGGTTAATATCTTAATTTTAAATTTTATGAATAAATTAAGTACTTACTGATTCCCATCCTTATAACTTTTACTGCAGCTTTACCTTCTCTGACCTTAAACGGGTTTTAAGAAAGTATAACAGCACGGTTTAAAAAGATGAGACATAGGCTACCTATTTTATACATAATTTAGGGATATTGTAAACTGCAGAATTCTTTGATCCATGTACAATACCTGTACATGGGTACCAGGTACCAGGTACCTGGATTTATATCAGATATTTTTCCTTCTGTTTTCAAAATGTAAGTTTATGTTTTCATTATTCAAGAGGCTAATTTAATCAATGCTGCCCTCTAGTGATATTGCTACTAAATAAGATAGCCACTATCAATATTGCTATATTGTTAAACATTGATATCTAGAAAAAAGTAACGAGGGAAAAAAGTAGCTATAAACTTGTAAGCTAAACTAAAACACAACATTTTCTAAAGAGAGATGAAAAGGGAAAATCTGGGTGATAGTAGGAAAATAATGGCACTCCCATACACATACACACACGATTTAAAGATTTAAAAAGTCAAAGAAATGAAGATTTGGGGAAACAAAATAAAATTATACATATGCCATGCAAACCTATGTTGTAAATATTAAACCAATGTTTCTTTTCTTTACATTTTCTTATTTTCTCAACATTTAGCATATTTTGCTTTGATGGACTAGAAAGTAAGAAAAAGAATTACTAGGAAGGAAAATGAAGAGCAATGTTTAATTGCTCAATTGCAGCAAAATATTAATTCATTTTTTTTAACCTGCTTACTTGAAAAAAACATCCTCCTCCAACAGCTGTATATGAGCATATGCACTTATGTTTTCCAATATGAGCCGTAAGGTTTATTTGAGAGTTCTTTTTTTTTTCTAGAAACAAACAAACAAACAAAAAAAATACCCCAGAACCTTTGAACAGCTTTTTCCTTCTCAGACTAAGAGTCAGACTCCAAACCACTTGGCCTCAGACAGGATGAAAGGAAAACAACAACAACAACAACAACAACAACAAAAAAACCAGGTTGCAAATTTTGTATTTTATGTATAGACATTTTGCAAGCAAATATATGCAATCCCCTCTTGGCTAGTGATCTTTCCCTGTCTATATCTCTAAACTTTTAATAGTACAACATTAGCCCATATCAAGGGTTATTAGGTTATGAAATCAACATTACGAGAAAAGATAGTTCTTAGTTTCAAAATGTTTATGAAAAAATAACATTTTTACTATGAACGGACCCATACCATAATATTTCTTGTATCTCCTCCAAATATGACTTATGACATTTGAGACATGCTTTGATATTTCTTGTTTATATATTTAGGAAAAATTAGGATTTTTCTTTTTAAACTTGCTTGTAGAGAAACATGTTAATACTCAAATAATAATTCTATTAAAGAACAAGTGACTATTTTTCTAAAAAATAATTATTTTTATGTTTAAATTTTAAATTTAAAAAAAAGGAAAAAAGAAAATAAAAATGCTATGATTTAAATAAACGGAACTTTAAATAAAAGTTGTACACTTAGAGCTCAAGATACTGTTGATGAAGAATTTGTGGTTGTGAACAATCGCAATGTTCCACCATTTCTCTCCCTTCTGTCCATTTTATAGGAATAATATCCATGAATAATTATCACATATTTTATGAATAACTTTGTGAAATCTGTTTAGTTAGCAAGACTACTTTTATATCAAATAGTACTTCCCCCCCCCCTTCCTGGTGCTTTTCTGCAAGCGTTTTCCACTCTTTTGGAAATTTGCTACAGGAATTGACCATTCGGTTTGTTGCTCATGCCTGATGTTGAGCCTGATAGGCTGCAATGAGAGGGACTGGCCGAAAGTACCCAGCCTATTTTCATGCCTAAAGTGGGACTAGAATCATAGTCTCCAGATTACCAGCATTTGCTTTAACCATTAGACCAAACTTTTCTCTAAATTCTTCCTAAAAATTATACTTTCCTGTTGTGACTCCAACCCCCAAGGCCGATTTATCGGAGGGAGAAGGCTCCGAACATGAAGGAGAGGAGTTGGCCAGGCCTCCCTCTCCAGGACCCTCCTCTCTGGCAATGCCTCAGGTGTCTCCCGAGGGAGGAGAGATTGGCCAGGAGCCAGGTATCTCCTCACAGTCGGACTGTGACGGATATAAGTCTTGGCTGGATCCTGCGTGCACTTGTCGGAGAGACAAGTGCACGCAGCAGAAAAGGAGGCGTGCCAGAGATTAAGCTGAGTCACTGGACCACACCCCACAGGGGATATAAGGGGGTAAGGTGCCATTCAGACTCTGTGATGGACAAAACTAACTACTAGCAAGTCACATTGTATCTTTGCAACAACGATATCTGCCTTGGAATTAATACGGACTGGACTTGACAATTCTTGAACTGTGTGTATCTTGTTTGGCTTAATCTGTCGGAGGAACAACTCCTCCTTTTATGGATAAACTTCTTGGCAAGCAGCTACTGGGTTGCTGCCAATCCTCTTATTGAAAGAATTTGTTGTCTGCCAGTTTTATTTAACCCCTGGATATCTGTTTGTGTGCGTGTGTGAGACGGGGACAGAACATCTCCAGACTTTAAATGTGAAATAGACAAAGCAGGTTAAACTTCAATTGTATTGTATAATTTTGCATTTAATATTTGATAGAAATAATTTTTATTTGCTTATCCAATGGCCTGGCATATTTATATTTTTGAATTAAGAATAAGGAAAATCATATCTAAGTGATCAACAATATTGTTTCAAACAATAAATTAATATGTACAAAGATGCATACATTCAATAGATTCCAACATGTAAAAGAGAGCACTGATTCTACAAAATGGTGTTTAAAGAAAGACATTTGTTTTTCTATCACTAATCTATTTCCATGTTGGAAGCACCAAAGCGCTTCCATGGTTTTGCCGGTGACATCACCATTGCTTGGAGGATTCCCAGATGGGGGTTCCTTTCATGTCCCCATTAATAATCCAATTGAAGTGGTACCTATTTCCAGTGATGAAATTCAATTTTTTTTTACTACCATTTCTGTGGTGTGGCTTGGTGGGCATGGTGTGGCTTGGTGGGCATGGCAGGGGAAGGATACTGCAAAATCCCCATTCCTTCCCCACTCCAGGGGAAGGATATTGCAACATCTCATTCTCACCCACTCTGGGACAGCCAGAAGTAGTATTTGCTGGTTTTTTTTTTTTTAATTTGATTTATATGCCGCCCTTCTCCAGAGACTCAGGGCGGCTTACAATGCGTTAAGCAATAGCCTTCATACTTTTGTATATTTATACAAAGTCAGCTTATTGCCCCCACAAACTGGGTCCTCAATTTACCTACCTTAGAAAGGATGGAAGGCTGAGTCAACCTTGAGCCTGGTGAGATTCGAACTTACAGTAATTGCAGACAGCTGGTGTTGATCACAATGCTATCAGTCTGCTGAGCCACCAGGTTTGGTTCTCCAAACTACTCAAAATTTCCGCTACTGGTTCTCCAGAATCTGTCAGAACCTGCTGGATTTTACCACTGCCTATTTCTCTATTTGCATTACATACTTTTGAATTGGTGGGTTGGCAGGAACTGAGCGAATGATGGGAGCTCAACCCAACACACAGCAGCACTTGAACTTTGAATGCTGCCCTGCACATTGTTAAATCAGCATCCTCACCATGTGAGCCATCACACTCCTATTTATTTTCTCTAATAAATATTTTCTCTAGTAAATTAGCAGATCCATAAAAAGTGGATGTTAGAAACTCTCACCACCAGATTCTATATTTTTGGAATTTGCAAAATATTTGGAACTTATTTCTATTGCATTGTTTTACAACCTTAGATTGAAATATAGAGGGAAATATACTTTTTTTTGTTCTTGTTCTCTGATCAAGTTTCAGAGATCAAAATGGCTAAACAGTGGTTGAAACCTAAGAAAGGAGGGTGGTGAGAATATTCAGCCTTTAGCTGAATTTCTTTTTGTCTCACATAGTTGAGGTCTACCTATGTTGACAATTACAGGCCTCTCTCATCTTTTTAAGTGGGAGAACTTGCACAATTAGTGGCTGACTAAATACTTTTTTGCCCCACTGCATTTTCACAGTTGGAGAACTAACAAAGTGGATTTCATCTGTTGCTCCGAAGTCCAAGTCTGCATATTTCTACAATATCAGGTCTCTGAAAGGGAAAGTGCCAAACTCCTTTCTTCTATGAAGATTGAGGGAGACTGGATGAATTTATTACAGTTACAGGTAACCACTTCTATTTGGATTTTGATCAGAAGATAGACGTATTCTGGAGATTTGAATCTATTACATTTAATTAAACAACGATAAGAGATGGCATCAAGAAACAAAGATGGATATTTGATTCAGGTTGAACTATCTATAACTTTTGGGATGATTTGGGATAGATCAGATACCAATGCTAAATTTTCTACAAGTGGATTATAATTGTTTGTTAATAAAGAGTTTTGAAAATTTTATTTTATTTTGTTTTATTTTTATTATTATTCCTGTTAACTACTTTGTTACTAATATAAAACATAGAAGACAGGTCAATAATTTGCAGATTTAGTAAGTTAAAATTTTTTGGGAGGGCCTGTTGCGCAAGATGGGAACTAATGTATAATCAGTATTGAATTAGAGGGGATAATATTTGTATGTATACAGAAATTTTGATGTAATTTGTAGCACTGTCTCTTTTTTCTAATATAGTATTCAATTTTGTATGAAAAGATCAAATAATTTTTTGCTTCTAACATCCATATCCTGTTTATTAATACCTATATTTTTCTCTATTCTTATTTCTAATACTTCAAGTTATCTAAACAATAGAATGACAATAATATTAATTAGTACTGTACAAAAATCATTATATCAAAACAATATATTGTAATTTACAACAATATAATGAAAAGGAAAGAAAAAGTTTTTAAAATCAGCATTGTACAAATAGATTTTTGAGCCACT